TTGTGTCTCTAAATAAAATACAAAATAGGGCTGAGGATGTGGCTCAGTGGTCAAGTGCCCCTGAGTTCAATTCCCCTGAGTTAAATTCCCACTACCCCCCAAAAAATTGCCAGGCACAGTGACACATATTTTCTTTGTGACAAGAACTACTTTAAGTGTTTTAGTGACTTTGTCACTGGGAGGGAATTAAGATTAACTCCATCTGACAGATGAGAAAACTGAAGAAAGAGAAGTTAAGTCCCCCGGTCATGGCTAGAAAGTCGCAGAGCTGAAATTCAAATTCAGGTTGCCTGGTTCCAGATTCTGTGTTCTCCTACAGACTCCAGTACTTCTGGAATGACCAGGAGGGCAGCATCTGCCTAGAGGGTTTCCAGGTTAAAACAAAAAGTAGAACAGAACTTGGGTGATGCAGCCAAAGCTGTGCCAGAGGCAGATTTATTCCTTTAAGCACAATTTTTTAAAGAGGCAAATTAAGCCTAAAGAAGAAAGTAAGAGAGAGGGAATAAAAAAAGGTAAGAGCAGAAATTAGTGAACTAGAAAACAAATATACAATAGGGGGGAGGATCAACAAAACAGAACTTGTCCCTCCAGTAAAAAAGAAAAAATATTCAGATTCCCTGACAAGACTGAGTCAGATAAAGAGAGAGAAGAGCAAGCAGCCAAGTCAAGAGAAACTGAGACAGTGAAGAAATAAAAGGGGATTCTGTGCAGCCCCGTGTTTACATACCTGCGTTCTAGAAATGAACACGCCCAGAGAACGCAGCTCACCTGAGCTGTCCCAGAGGAAATCTGACAATCTATTAAAGCAATCAAAGCCTCAGTTTAGACCTTCCCACAAAGAAAACTCTAAAACCAATGTCTCTACCAGAAAGTTCCGTCACTGGTTAAGAAATGAATGATGCCAACCTTACACTATGTGTTCCAGAGAGCAGAACAGGTTCTGCAGCCCACAGTACACAGTGCTGACCGGGCCCTGGGCTGGGCAGCCACTGGAACACGTCTCTTATGACCCGCCTCATGGTAACCTCCACCCGTGGTCTACTTCTGCACCTTTGCCCAGTTTAGGGCTCCGTGGGAGTGGACCATGCAGAGTCTGCCCTGGGCCTGACTTATTTCATCAGGACATGTCCTCCAGGTCCATCTGTGGGGGAGGGTATTTTCTGTGTGTAAACCAAGAGTTCAGAAGCAAGGAGAGAAGGCAGCAGGGGACCACTGAGCCCGGCTTGGACAGGCTCCGCCCCTGGATGCCTCGATGACCAGCAAATGCTTGAAGAGCCACCCAACCTCATTCCCAGTCACGGAGTTGCAGTTGAAACCTGCGAGTCACCACCACCTGCCTGGGAACGCCATGAATCCAAGACTGGCCTCAGGAGCGCTGGTGGGTGCAGCAGTAGGAACCCAGAGCTGGCGGGGTGCAGACCAGGACCCCCTCCGAAAGTGCACAGTCCTACCCAGACTGAACGCAGGCCCCACGCCCACTCAGCAGAAACCTTGCCCAAGGGACAAGACACACCTGCGAGGAAACCAGCCATGACGGTCAGCAGCCCTTCAGAACCAGCCCTGTGCCCGTCAGCGGGAGGCAGGGATGGAACTGCCATGTGCTCCTGGGGCAGACTCTGCACCTTGGTGTTGTGAGTCGCCCTGGCTGCAGCCATGCCACAGGGAGCCTCCAAGCAGGAGGTGGAGCTTGGAAGCCAGATGGGCGGAGCGCGGACGGAGCTGCTGTGTTGGTGAGGGCTGAGGGTGCAGGGGACATCCCGCTGCCCGCCGTGGGAGCCCCCAGAGGAAGGAAGCTAGGTCCTCCGTGAGGCTGGAGCCCCACCCCCACCCCCACCCCCGCTGTCTCCAGCCCCAGGTGATGGGTGTGCGGTGGCTTTGAGGTCATGCAACGTGCTAGCAGACTTGGGGTACTTTTCTGCATATGTCGCCCTTCATAATAAAAATGACCTTGAAAACATAAAATCACCCAAGCTTGCCGGTCCTCAGCAGGCCCAGCACCCTGCATGCTCTCGGGTCGGAGCAAGCCGTCCTGGGGAGCCGTGGGAGTGTGCACGCGGGTGGACTGGGCACTTCCCTCTTACCTCTGCTCACCTGGGTTTGGAGTGGCCACCAGCTCTGGACCGGAGCAGGTAGAACTCAGCTCTTTGGGGACAGGGAGGTAAGTGTGGCTTGGGACCAGTGTGTGGGGTGAAGACAGGCGGTCAGCGGAGAGCGTGTGGGCAGCCCAGGAAGAGGGGGCTTCCCAGTTAGGGGCTCTAGAGGGAGGGAGGGTGGCCCTGGAGTCCAGGAGCAGACTCTTCTCCTGAAGAAGGAGCAGGTCAGAGGTGGAGACCGAGGGGGAGAGGACAGGGCCTCCACTTCCCGGGTGTCCCCAGAGTCTCACGGGGTATCATGGACAGCATGTGCCTACCCTAGTGGAGGAGCGATGCTGATGTGGACGCTGCTCCTCCAAACCAGCGAGGACCCTCCAAACCAGGGAGCCCAGTGGTGAGGTGCAGCCCCTGCCACCCCTCTCCTTTCTGGGTCTCACACCCCAGGCTTCCCGGCATTCCCACATTCCCAGCATTCCCGCACTCCCCCGCATCCTGGGGTCTGGTTTGGAGTGACGTGGCCAGCCTGAGCCCAGAGTCCCAGAACCAAGCTGGACTTCTGGGTCCCAAGAAGAATGTATTCCCGGACACCTGCCGTTTTCCGGGCACTGGTGGGCTCTGGGGACACAGCTGTGATAAGCAAAGTCCGTGAGCACACGGAGCTGGCGCTCCAGGGGAGAGAACTCCGGATCCGAATGAACACCAAGATCAGCTGATGCCTGGAGCCGCGACTGGCCGCGGTCCCTCAGCTCTGTGACACAGGCAGGGCCCGGGCTTCCGGGAGGGACTCAAGTTAGAGACAAGTTCTAGAGAGCACAGGAGCTTCCCGGGGCCTTGGTGGGTTCCCGCCGCGGGCTCTGTTCTTTGCAGTCTTGGAGGCTGGACTGGGGCAGTGTCCCCCTGGGCTGAGGTCTTGGTGGCTGCAGTGCGACCTGCCTGTCAGCTGTAGAGGCCACCTGCCACGGCCCTCCCCGAGGTCGCCAGCCCCTGTGCTCTCCTCCTCTCTGTGTGACCCCTCAGCCCCCTCAGGACCCTGGGATGGCACCAGACCCCTGTGTGACCCAGGATCACCTCCTCATTTAGCCTCCTTAACATGATCCCATCTGCAAAGTCCCTTTTGCCACATACTGTGACATCCTGGGGCTCCAGGGGTTGAAGTGGACCCTCAGGGGGCCACTCTCAGTTGGTCTTGGAGGGGAAGGTCAGTGGAGAGGAAGCAGGGCCCTGGGAGAAGGGTCCAGGTGGGGGAGCCACTGTACAAACCAAGGCTGCCCATGAGAGCAAGGGCCAGACGGGCCAGAAGGGCCTGATGACTGTGGACCAGGGCCTAGGAGGGAGGGTCCGGCGCCCTCTCTGGCAGAAAGTGGCAGGCCCCTCCCCAGGCTGGCCTCAAGCCTGGGCACAGCCCGGGGCGCCCCTCTCCCCTCAGCTGGGAACCATTCTAGAATGTTCCTCTCTGGTCAACATGTGCTGGAAGGAACTGGGGGGTGAGGGGGAGGGTGTCCACTGGCAGGGTGACTGCTGGGGCAGGAGCTGTCCACCCTCCTGGAGGTCCTGACCTCTTGAAGGTCCCCCTGTTGCGGAGCGGATGTTTGTCCTGCAGCAGCTGTGGCCACAGCTGCCTGAGGGGCAGGCAGTTGCCTGGAGGTCAGCCACAGCCCAGGCGAGCCCTGGAGCGAGCCCTTCCCTCTCAGGGCCTCAGTGCCCCTTGTCAGCAGACAGTGGAACAGCCTCCCAGGACTCCAGGTGTGTGCAGAGGCCAGGGGTTAGGGCAGTGTGGCCGCTGAGTGCCCTGTTTACAGTCCCAGGGTACCCCCAGGGGACATCGGAGTCCTGCTGGGCGTGGGCCTGAGTTGCACAACACTCTGGCTGCAGCAGACGGCCCCGAAAAAGTTGTTTTTCACCAACGGCAGCTGGAGGGGCAGCTGGGAGGTCAGCACTCCCCACGGGAGCTGCCGGGCCTGGGGCCAGGAGGGTGCCTGGGGCCACAGTCCCACCTCCACCAACAGGGCTGCCCTGGACAAGTGGACACACAGCCCTGGCACTTCGAGCTGTCTGAGAGCTGGCCTCCCTCTTGGGGTGGTAACCACGGCCACCTGGTGTGGAGGCTCAGAGCTGAAGGCCCCGAGGGTCAGCCGGGCTCAGACCCCACCTCGGCCTCCCATGCACTCAAGAGCAGCCGGGGTGTGTGGGGGGGTGAGGGACGAGAGGTGCCACCGGGCAGACCCCGGTCAAGAGCCTCCAGGCACTGTCATTGTCCCCACCACATCCAGCTCATCCTCAGGTGACCCCAAACCGGCAAGGACGCAGCATCAACTCCACTTCACAGCTGAGGAGGCTCGGCTCAGAGGGCAGGGCCACCAGGGCCACTTGAGCTCTGCCTCCCACCCCACAGCACTGCTTGGTCTCGGGAGGGAGGCCTGGAGGCTGGGTGGCCCCCAGCAGTGTGCCTGGTGGGCATGGGAGGAGACACTGCCCTCCGCCAGCTCGCTGCCCTCACCCACATGGCTGGGTGTCAGTGTCTGCCCCCTCGGGGGACAGTCTGAGGAGGGGCTCCTCCACACGGAAGGTACCGATGCAGGGCACCGGCAGGACCCCCGGCCGGCCCTGGTTCTGGAAACTGCTAGAGGCCAAGGCTGGGTGAGAGCTTTTCTTGCCCAAGTTCTGAGGCTGGAAGTCAGTGGAGGAGCTGGGCTTTGTACCTGTGGCCTGACTTGAGACCCTTGGCAAAACCAGAGGTCCTGGGGACAGGTATGTCCCGATCCTTAGCTGTTGTAGAAACCTGTCCTTATCACAGAGGCCACCGCCTCGGTCTAGGCTCCTACACCTAGCAAGGTGTGCCACACGGCGCCCCCAGGAAAGCGCCAACTGCTCGGCGTGGGCTGCCCCAACACCCCTCAGACGGACAGCTCTGTGCTTGTAAACTTTAATTTCCGTACAGTAGAGAAACACACAGGGGGCGGGCAGCTGTGCAGCGAAGCTCAAGACACACCCGGAGGGACACACGGGAGGAGGTGTCCACCAGAGCCCGCTGCTTCCAGCAGGCTCTGTGGGCAAGGCGGGGCCGGCTCAGTCCTGCACTCGGGCGGGCGGCTCTCCCCTGGGCCACCTGGGGCTGAACTTCTCCAGGCAGCAGCTGAGTGTGTGCATCACGCTCTGCTCCCTGCTGCTCCCTGTGCTCCTGGGAGGGTGCACCTCGTGGCCAGTGCAGGGCTCGGCTCAGCAGAGGGTTGTTCACTGGCACCTGCTCCAGGCCAGTCCCTGTTGGACCCTGACCCTGCCAGGGGTCATGGGCACAGCCTGCCCTTTGGGGAGTCTAGGTGGCAGGGCGGGCAGCCCCTGTCATACCATGGGGGGGGCACTGCAGCAGAAGGAAACTGGACAACAGGGTGAGGGAGGTGCTCACGAGGGAGGAGCAGACGTGGGAGCTGGGACCTGAAGTGGGTGGTGAGTGGGACAAGGGGGACATTGCAGACAGAGGGATGGACAGGTGCAGAGGCAGGAAGCTGAGGAAGAGGGTAGACTTCAGGAACTGCAGGAGTTTTATAGGTTCCAGAGAACTTGGAAGGTGACCTTCAAGAGCAGGTGCACCAGGGGAGCATGGGACTTCCCATGTGGTGCTGGGATTTGGGATCAAGGCTGAGATCTGGTCCTCCAGCCAGGCCCAGCCTGGGACTCTGCCTCGGGACGCCGGGAGGCTGTGGCGTCCTCCCTGCTGAGGACCACAGGTCCTCCGTCCGGGTCCTGGAGAGGCTTTCTCCCTGTCATCTGCAGGGTCTGACCTGGCGCTTGATGCTGGAGGGTGGCCCCTCACACGACCACCTCGGGCACAATGCTGAACAGGAGGTCATCGTTGCCCCGCTGCACCTCCAGCAGGAGCGGAGACTCTTTCATGATGGCCTCCTGCAGCTCACTCGAGTCCACCAGCGGGCGCCCGTTGACCTTGACGATGATGTCGCCATCTTGGATTCCCCCTCTGCCAAAGGGAGAGACACAGGGGCACTCTTCTCAGGGGCCTGGGCTCAGCCAGGACACGGTGGAGTTCAACGGCAGCAGTTGAACAAAAACCATGTCAGTGAGAAAGAGCAGCAAGCAGACCACGAAGGCCCTTCCCCAGAAGGGAACCAGTGGGTGCGGAATAGCATTCTCCATGTGCCCCACCCCAGGCCATGTGGGCCATCTTTGCCAGGAAGCTCACAGCCACCTGAAGTCAGTGCAGGAGACCCCGCCCAGGCTCCACCCCCCACCAGGGTCTGCCGCCCGCCTCCCAGGCAGCCTCCCCGCCTCTTGGCAGAGCCTACCTCTGAGAAGGCGAATTTGGAACAACCTCCTGCACATAAATCCCACTGCTGACCGACGGGAAGTCGGGGTCGCCAGCCTTGAGTTCCTCCACCAAACTGAAAGGACAGCTCCCTGTGAAGCCTCTTCCGAGGCCTGGAACCAGCTCCTCGGCATGCAGCTGCCCCACCCTCTGCCCAGGCCAGACAAGGAGCCTCCTGGGGGCCACCACACTGCCCCGTCCTGCCACCTGAGCACTCCGTGTCCCCCACGAAAATCTCAATGCAAGGCCCCGTTAGAAATGTAGAGGGCAGAGCTGGAGGGGAGGAGGGAGGGTGCACAGGAGGAAGGAGGCGGAGGGAGGAGGGGACGATAGGTGATGGAAGGAGGAAGGTTAGTGGGGAGCAGAAAGGAAAGATGGACAGACACTCGGCACGTCCATTACAGAAGGCTCAGAGGAGACTGGAGAGATGGTAGGACGGGCAGGGGACAGAGGAACAGGAAGGACACATGAGCAGGCCCACCAGTGTGGTGGTCTCCATTACAGAGAGCCTCCAAATTGCACCACTGGAGTAACCCCCCAAAACAGGGAGAGTGTCCTCTGGGGACCGTGTGGTGGGGAGGGTATCCCAGTTCTTCCCAGAGCGCCTCGATGCCGGCACAGCCTCCGGCTTCAAACCCTCGGACCTGATTGGTGGACCCTGTCTCCCTCCTCTGCCCACTTCTCCATCCAGCCTGGGTATTTCTGGCGCTGATCACGTAGGCCTGCCATTAGGGGCAGAGTAGAGTGGGTGGAACACAGTCCTTGGCCCCAGGGGCTCATGGCCAAGGAGGTGGGGAGGGGTCCCCGAACAGCAGGAGGAAGGCAGAGCTGGGGCTCTGCAAGGAGGGGTGGCCTGTGAGGAGGCAGAAGCGCATCCCCCAAATCCATGCACTCCCAGGACCTCAGGGTGCGACCTTGTTGGCACAGGGTCTTTGCAGATGGGCTCAGTTAAGGATCCTGAGATGAGGTCATCCTGATGCAGGGTGAGTCCTAAGTCCAGGGACTGGGGGTTTTGTAAGAGAAACAGGGGGAGATTGGGACACAGACACACAGAGGAGGCCACATGGACACAGAGGAGGGATTGGCCTGAGGTGGCCACAAGCCAAGGACACCCGGAGCCACCAGGAGTGGAAGAAGCGGGAAGTTACTCCCTGAGCCCCTCAGAGGGGCCCCACGGGCACCCTGACAGCAGACTTCGGGTCCCCAGAACTGTGAGCTGCCACATTCGGCTGTGCTCAGCCACCCACTTTGTGGTGCCTTGTGTGGCAGCCCCAGGGAGGATCCAGAGCAGCACAGGAGGAGTCCGAGCCTTGGCCAGGCCAGGACCGGGGCAGCCCGAGCAGGGGCACGCAGGGGGCACCCCTCACCTGGGAGTGATGGTCCGCATCCGAATGCCGATGAACCGCTTCTTCCAGCCTGGAAATGAGTAGAGCAGGACTGGGTTACAGCTGCTGAAGAGCCACCGCCCTCCCTGAAAGGACCAGCAGGGGACAGGAGGTGCCCCGTGGGACCAGGAAGCAGCAGGAGCCACCCTGCCTGAGGCAGCCGGCCCCATGTGGCCAGGCTCCTGCAGCTGTCCTCTCAAATACTCCCCAGAGCTAGGAGATGCCCAGCTGCAGTCCCCCATACCACTGCCTTCACGTCCACTCCATCTCTGTTCCACCCATCAGCTCCAACACCCGCTGCCCTTGCTGAGCTCCACACCCAACCCCAAGGGCCCTCCCGTGCCCCACACTGCCAGTCCCCAGTGTCCTTACTTGGAACTGAACCTACCTGCCCATACACAGTGACACCTGAAAGGCCTGGTGAGCACTAGCCAAGCCCACTGAGGTGGCCCCGCCACCCGGCTGCTCCAGCCAGCGATTTAGCAGGCGTCACAGACCCAGAGACTACAGTGACAAGTTGTGGACTATTAAACAAGACGCAATTCATTTCACATTTTCAATTCAGAAAAGCTTTCTGACCACAATGGACTGAACTAGAAATCAATAATAGAAATAAACCCAGAAAGTTCTCAGCTAGTTTCAAAGGAGAAATCAAAAGGGAAATGAGAAAGTACTTTCAATTGCATAAAAGTGAAAATCTAACCCATGAAGCTTTGTGGGAATAAGGCAGCTCTTAGAGGGAACCAGCTTACTTAAGTGTGTGTGTCACAAAAGGGTGGCCTCAAGTCAGGGCCCAGATTCCACCCGAAAAACATGGAACGGAGGCCGACGAGACCTCAAGTGAGCACATGGAAAGAAATAGAGTCTGAATCAATGAAATAGAAACCACGGAGAAGATAGACGAAACCCAAATCTCAGTCTTTGCCACCAAAACCCTGATGGACCTTTAGCAGCATGACTGGGGGAAAGAAGAGACACCATTGTCACCGGGAGAGCTGGAGAGGCCGCATGGCACGGACCCAGAGAGAGCACCAGGGTGTCACCAACCACCCGAGGCCAATACGCCTGGAAACGCGCTGTCCTCCCCCAGGACGGGAACTGGACGACAGGGGACTGGACCAGGATGTCCACTCTCACCACTTCCCTTGAATATTTTACTAGAAATTCTTCCCGGGTAAGAAAAAGAGAGAAAGGACATTCAGACTGGGCATGAAGAGGTCTGACTGTGACATTCGGGCTGTAAGGCCATCTTTGTAAATAATCTAGTAGACTCTACAAAAAGTGACAGTGAGCACCAGTGTCACGGCTGGGCCTGACGCTCCCAGCGGCTCCTGGGTTGAAGGCGTGGTCCCCGGCAGCACTGTCCAGGGGCGGGGCTCCTGGGAAGGCGCACTCAGGGCTCTGACCTCAGTGGACTAACCCTCTGGTGCAGTCACCTGAATGGACTCTCAGAGGTGGTGGGAACGGCAGGGGCTGTGTCTGTCCCTGTGCCCTCCTCTCGCTCTGCTCCATGAGGAGGGCAGCTCTGCTTCCCCGTGAGCCCCCTGACTGTGCTCTGCCTCACCTCAGGCCCCGAAATGATGGCGCCAACTGACCACGGACTGACTCCTGTGGAGCCGACGCACAGTAAGCCTCTCCTCCTCTGGCTGATTTTCTCAGGCCCTCGACTCCGTGGCGGGAAGGTGACTGGCCATCAGGGAGGCAGCGGTCTCAGGACCAACACGCCAACAGCGTTTTATTTGTATATTCTTGTTACAGACCATCAGCGACTGACCTGGACACTGCGAACCATGGCCACTGCTGAGAAGGGCCAAAGAGGACCCAATCGACGGGGAGAGACTGGGATGGCAGGTCCGAAGACCCAACAATGAGGACAGCAAGCCAGTTCTCCCCAGCTCATCTCTAGGTCCAATGCAAGCCCGACCCAGACCCCAGCAGGGCACCAGAGTGAAAAGCTAACCCTGAAGGTTTGGGAGTGAGAGACTAGAAGAGCCAAAACAGCTGGAGGAAGAGCAAAGAGCAAGGGTCCGGGGGACAGGGGGCTCCACACCCAACCCGAAGCCTCTCTCTCTACTTTGCACCATATAAAAATTTATTTTGAAATGTGTTTTAGCCCCAAGTCTGAAACCTCAAAAAGCAGAACTTCTGGGGGAGAACTGTGGTCTTGGGCTGCAGAGATCCCTTAGCTACAACACTAGATGCGTGACCTAGTCCCCAAGAAGCTGGATTCATCCAATTGTACCAAATTTCTGCTCTTTAAAGACACTGTTAAGAGAAGGAAAAGGCCAGTCAGGCCAGCAGAGAGCCCCTGCAGCTCACGTGTCAGGCCCCTGTGCCGACCAGAGGGAACCTGCAGCCCTCCAGGAGCACAAGCAACCTGGAGATTTTTTTTTTTTTTAAACGGGCAAAATATTTAAACAGACGCTTCACCCAAGATGGACGACTTTACAAGCCACATGGTGGCTGGTGTCTGCAGGCTCTGGTTTTCAACAGGCTCACGGCACAGGCTGCCTGGGGTTCTGCAGCCCCCCAGCTGCAGAAGGGTCTGGGGTCAGCAGGGAGACAGTAAGGGCTCTGGTGGCCAGAGGCCAGGTGTGGGTAGTCCTGCAGGTAGGCCCCGAGGACTTGCTGGTGGAAGGGGCGAGGGCTGGAGGCTGGAGGGATAGGGCTGCCCTTCACTGAGGGGCAGCTGGGGGCTGGTGGGCAGGAGTCTCCTCCTACAGCTGGGGAGAGGTCCGTGGGGAGGTGAGTCTGTGGACTCAAGTCTAAGCCCAGGAGGCTGGATGGGGACGGGCCAAGCCCGAGTCTGAACACCTGGGCCACCCTAGCGGCTCCCTCCTGGCCACTGGCTGCAGGTCAGCGTGGTTCACAGCGCGAGGCCATGCCGAAAGAGGTAAGGTGCAGCCTCCCGCACACACGTGGGGGCAGGGCCTGGTCCCTTGCAGGTGTAGGGTGCCTTCCCAGCAGAAGCCCAGCTTGGGATCACCTGGGAGGCCAGGGACAGTCACTGGGTAGGAGGACCCCTTGCTGCCCCTCCAGCAGGGCCAGCAGCCCAGGCACGGAGGCAGCTCTCCAGGGACACGGGGCCAGGGGCAGGGGTGTGCTCGTGACCCCAGGTTCCCGCAGCCTTTGCTGAGTGTTGTGACCAAGGGTGTCAGCCACTGGCCGGAGGAGCTGGGCGCCTGGCTGCGCTCCTTCCTCAGCCCATGGCTCTGCCGCCCCAGGGTGCCCTTCAGAGGGAGCCCAGAGCACCGGGAGGCCGCCGAATGGCAAGGAGATGGAGCCTGAAGGGGCCCCTGACCTGGGCACAGGAGCTTTAGAAGCAGCATGCGGTAAAGCCCCTGAGCGGGAGGGAATGTCACGGCCACAACCCAAAACACGTAGGGCGCACTCCACAGGAGGGCTCCGTGCACAGAGGCTGCTCCCCGGCTCCCTCCTGCCCGGCTCCCTCCTGTGGGGCTCTGCCCCAGCCCCTCCTGCTCCCACCCACATCCCACCTTTCTAGAAACCCTGCTGGCTCCACCTTCAAGCAGACCCCCCCGCCATCAGGTCTCCTGACTGCTGCCCCCCGGGCACAGCCAGGGGAGCCCCTGCCGTTACCCCCACTCTCTCCTGGCCCCAGCTCCTGGGCACAGCCCTCAGCCCAGGGGCCCACCACTGCCAGGGTCTCCTCTCCAGCCCCCACACTGGCCCACCCCAGGATGTCACACGTCCTGCTCATGGCCAGACAGGGCCTCCCCCATCTCTTGAGCAGGTGCCCCTCTGCCAGATGCCACCTCCCAGGAGTCTCCTGCTCCCTGTCCTCTGCAGCCTCCCACCTGCCTTCCTCCTGGTCTCTGAGACACCAGGTCACCTGTTGGCCCTTGGGGCATGCTCTTTGAGGGCTTGGCCCAGCCTGCAGGAGGGCCAGGCAGGGAGAGGCAGCTGACACCTGCCCTGGCTGCCCCCGCCTTGTGTGTGACCAAGCCAGAGTTCAGCTGGACCTTGTCCAGAGCTCAGGAGAGGCTGGCCTGGGCTCAGCTGCCCCCTCTCCCTGGAGAAGGAATGAGAGGCACAAGACCCCCTGCCCAGCCCTGGCCTCGGCTCTGCCCTGCCCTGCCCTCCTGCTCCAGCCCTGCTTCTGTGGGTGGGGGCTGCGTCTCCCACTCCCCGGTCTGCTTGGGAAGGACCTCCCCAAGTTCTGCCTGTCCCCCGCCCACTCCTGACCCTGCAGCTTTCCTGAGCTCTCACAGCCAAGGAGGCCCTGCCCCCCACAGTGCAGTGGTCACGTGACCTGAAACCCCCAGGGCATCTGCAACCTTGGACAAGAACAAGAGTGCACTTAGCATCCTGATTTAATAAAAAGATTGATCATTTTAAAGAACTTTAACTGGGTTTGGATCATTTCATACTTTTATTTAGAAAAAGAAAAAAAAACAAACTCTAACTTTGGAAGAATTTTAAAACAACAGATTCGCTTCTCAGCTAAGATATCTGAGGGGTCTTTGTGGGAGGGGGTGGTCTGCACTGTCCTTGGGTGAGGGATGAAGGTTTCTCAGGGGCCAGGTGAGGTCAGTGCTGACCAGGACAGTCCCCGTGACACAGAGAAGCAAAGCCAGGTGCTGGCGGGTCCTTTTCCAAGAAAGGAGAGAAAGAGGCCAGAAGAGAGAGACCACCACGCCACTCCAGCAAGACAGGCAGCCCACACCTCACCCACAGGCACAGCTACTGACCCCCGGGGTGGCCCAGTCCAGGGGACCCAGAGAGCTAGGACAGCTAAACTGGAAAGGCTCAGAGAAGGAAGACCCAGCTACCAAGGTACCAAGGTGCAGCCTGGTCTAGCTCTGAGGCTCCTGGCAGCCAAGAAGAAGAGGCCTGGGCTTAGATGGTGCCCACTGCCCAAGAGGAGGAGGCTGGGCTTCGTGGGAAAGAGCCCTGCCCAGCCCCAGACTGTCTTCACCTAAGGGCACTTAGGAACGAACGCAGGGTCCGGTGGCCATTCTTCCTTTGACCAGTCCTCAGGCTGTGCTGGGGTCCTTGTGCTTGGCGGGCAGGATGGTGGAGGAGGGGTGAGCAGAGAGGGCCCTGCTCAGTGGAGTGCTGGTGAGGGGTGGGGGAGACAGGGAGCAAGGTGAGGGTGAGGGTGCCGGGTGCCCAGGCCTGGGTGTCGGCCAGGAGGTGAGCGCAAGATGGAGAAGCTCAACTGGGCCACCAGGAAAGGGCCCAGGTCAGGAGTGTGCCTCCCCTGGAAGGTGGCACCACCACCAACCAAAGGTGACTGGGGTGATCTCACTGGGACAGCCACCTTGTGCCGTGGCAAGACCTTTCCCAGAGGGGTGCTCATGGCCACGTAGGAGTGGACAGGGTGGAGTGGGCAGCCCTGTTGGGACGGGGATGAGGAGAGGGAAGTTGGCCGGAGATGACTTCCAAGGACAAGGGTCATGTGCTCCCCTGGAACAGAGGGCACCCCACCAAGAGGTCTCCATGGCCCACAGGTGGAAGAAATAGTTAGCAACGGGTGGAGGTATGGGTGAGGAAGGGAGGGGAGGAGGGACAGGTGAATGGGAAAATGGATGGGCACATGGACATGAGGATGGATAGACTAGGTAGTGGGTGGATGGTGAGTGAGTGGGGTGGGTGGATGAGTGGATGGATGGAAGCGCGGAAGGAAGGGAGAGATAGATGGATGGATAGATGAATAGAATCATAGCAGGTAAACGGCTGGAAGAAGGAAGGAAGGAAGGATGGGTTGGGGGGCAGGTGGGTGGGCAGGTGGATGGATGAGTGAGCTGGTGGGTGGAGGGGTGAATGTATGGATGGATGGGTGGCGGAGCAGGTGGGTGGGCAGGTGGATGAATGGATGGGTGGATGGGTGGATGGATGGATGGATGGGTGGGTGGGTGGATGAGTGAGCTGGTGGGTGGATAGATGGGTGAATGGATGGATGGGTGGGTGGGCAGGTGGATGGATGAGTGAGCTGGTGGGTGGATGGGTAAATGGATGGGTGGGTGGGCTGATGACAAATAGGTGGGTGGAAAGGTGGGAGGATAAATGGACAGATGCATGGACAGGTCCACGGGAGAGTGGGTAGGTGAGTGGGCAGGTGGACTGGTGGATGGGTGGGTAATAGGAAGAAACCATCAAACTGTAAAAACGAATGAACAGCCCAGTCAAGAGGAACCAGAAGGTCTAAGCTGATGAAGAGAACTGAGGCCAGAGCTCCGGAGCCACCGGACGTATCTGGACGGCAGCAAGTGAGGAGGGGCAGGGAGGCCCCCGAGAGGCCACAGAGGAGCTGTCCTGGCGTCCCCTGGCTCTGGGAGGGTGAAGGGACTTGGTCTAGTGGTGAGCACTGCTCACAGCGCACCTGCTCCCACGCTGGCCCCAGAGCCGGGAGGCAGGGCCTGGCCCTGGGGGTGCCCCCGCCCCCCCCCAGGAGGCCGTACCTTTGATGTGCTTGTCCTGGAACTCTGACAGGAAGCGCGTGATGCGGTCCGAGGGGATGGCAAAGGAGATGCCAGCTGCCACCTTGAGCGTGTTGATGCCAATGACCTCACCATCCTGGCAGGGCCGTCAAAGCAGGGTGGTCACACGAGGGAGCCCAGGCAAACTGCTGCCCACGAGGCACGGTGCCCACAGCCTCCTCTCCAGGGGGGCCTCGATGCCCCCACCGGGACAGTCCTGGAGTAGCCCCAACTGGCCTGAGGGGTGGCTCCTGGGTCGTCCCCCTTCTGCTATCTCCAGAGAGACCTTCTCCGTCCCGGGAGCTCGCGGCCGAGGCCTGCCCCCTGCCCCACCCTCTGCCCTGGGCGGCAGTGCCCCTGGACCCAGGATGTCGAGAGAGAGGGAGGGCTGTGCCAGGGCGCTGTCTTCGTGTCCAGGAAGCAGGGGGCAGGGAGTGGGGCCAGGGCAGCCCCACCGCGTCCCTCTGTCCCTGAGCCCCCCCCCCCGCCTCTTCCCCAGCCACCAGGACCTCACTCTTGAGAAGGACCTCACTCCCCTCAGCCTGGGCAGCACCCTGGCCTGCGCCCTGGCCAGGGGTGGGATGTACCTTGAATATAAACCCGAGGGCGGGAGGCCCAGGGTGACGATGGCCCAGACTGCCTCCTGCCCAACGCACTCAGGGCGCTGCTCTCGGGCAGTTCACTCTGGGGGCTGCCACGGCCCTTGAGGGCATGGGGCAGCGTGGCCTCGGGGCTCAGTCCCCTCCTGGGCCTCCGGCCCAGCCGTGCTCCTGTGGTTAGGTGTGCGGGTTCTGGGCCTCACTGTGGGTCCTGTCCCTGCCTTGAGGCTGTGCCCCCCTGTGAGCAAAGCCCTGGAAACCGGAGACGCTGGACCTAGGAGACACTCACCAGGTTCACCAGGGGTCCCCCGGAGTTCCCGTACTGCGGGGGAGGAAACAGGTGTTAGCTCTGCCTGAGCCCCAAGCGCCCCCTGCCCGGCCCTGGCTCAGGCGGTGGAGACACAACAGCGCTCCCCCCGCAGCCTGGGCTCAGCCCTGCCTCACCCACAGGAGAGCTGAGGCCACGGAGGCCACCCACAGCCCCTCTGAGGCCTACTCTGTCCACCAGCGCTCTCCGCACAGGCCCCCTGCTTTGGTGTCTGCACCACTGGCGGGCGGGGGTACCCAGCGGGCATGCAGTGCAGGGCACCTTCTCCGTCTGCTGACCTGGCCCGGGGTCCCTATAGAGACTAACGGTTCCAGCCCTGGGAGTCGCGCAGGCACAGCGGGCGTGTGCCACGCTGTCTGGGCAGAGCCCTGAGAATGTAGGGGGAGGCACCACAGGGAGGCAGAGGGTCCAGCTGGGCACAGCCGGGCATGACCCAGCCTGGCAGAATGCAACGCTGCCTGGGGGACAAGGCATCTGGGTCATGGCCAGGCCTCCCCATTGCTGAAGGACCATTAGGGTCTGAACCCCCAGGGTGGCCGGTAGGCCTGGGCACAAGGCCCGGGTCAGCACTGCTTCTGGCAGCAGTCAGGAGCTGGAACCTGCTCCGGGGACAGGAGCAAGCCAGGTCTTGGGTGTGAACAGGGTGTGCCAGGGCCTGGCGGCCTCCCCTGCTCTGGGACTCACGTTGATGATGGCGTCTGTCTGGACGTAGTCCATGTCTGAGTCCCGGAGGCCCAGCTCCCTGCCGTCCCGCTGGGCAGTGCTGACGATGCCCGTCGTCACAGTGTTCTGTAGGGCGAAGGGACTGCCAATGGCCACCACAAACTCGCCAGGCCGCAGGTCTGCCGAGTGACCCAGCAGCAACACAGGGAGCTTTTTCTGGGGGGACGGGGAGAAGAGAGGGAGGCTCAGGTGGTCCCAGGGAAGCCGGGGACAGCTGTACAGGGAGGGCCCCATGAGGCCGAGCCAGGCCCCCGCATGGACCAGGGCCAGGACAGCGCCAGACCCAAGCTGGAGCCACGGAACAGAGACTCAGTGGGGCTGGCCACGTGGCCCACCACAGGGAGGCACAGAGGGCCCAGCTGGGCACAGCCTCTGAGCTCCTGAGCCTCCAGGCTTAATGGCCACAGGACCCTCTGGAAATCTGGAGGTTCCTGGGGTGGACAGCTCTGCAGGTGCCAGAGCCAGCTGAGGACCCCTCGACACCCCATCTCCTGACAGACGCACAGGGCACCTGAGTCCCGGGGTGAACTGACGTGGCCACCCACGCCAGCCCCAGTGCCCCTTTTAGCTTCACGTGGGGCTCAGAGCCTCTGTCTGACCCGTGACTGGGCTGGGAGCCGGCGGAGGGGCCAAGTCCAACTTGCTCTGCACTCAGGAGCTGCAGGGAGGCTCCGAGGGGTGCCCTCGAGTGCCCATGAGCAAGTGCCAAGGTGCACACACAGGGCAGGTGACTGGCAAGAGCCAGGCAGCCCTTCAGTGGCGTCCACGTCAATTCCAGGGTCTGGTCTGCCCGAGTAGCCTGAGACGTCACCGCTGGGGAGGCTGGGGAGGGCCACCTGGGACTGCCTGCCCACGGCCAGACCACATGGGCCTAGCTCTGGAGGGAGCAGGACGGCTTCTCACCTCTGGCCCTCTCCTCCTGGCCTCTGTCCTCCCCTTGCCCTTCTAGCCCTGTTGGGGGCCTCCATGTCGAGTGAGACACCTTCCTGGGGGGCAGTTTTCATAACAGCTGTCCGTGGAGAAGAGGGGGCATCCACAGAAGGAAGCCATGCGGAGAGACCCTGGTGGGCACGGGCACCGACCCCTGTGCTCTGGTACTGGCCATGAAGCTTCCGTCCATGGCATGTAGGGACTCAGGAGGAGGAGCCAGGCCACCCACCGGAAGGCGGGGACCCAGAGAGCAGACCTCTGAGAGGCCAGAGGGCCAGGGTGGCTTGTGTGCAGGGAGGCCGGAGACTGGAGCTGACCAGCTGGGAGGCAGAGCCTCCGCTGGGTTGGCGCCACGAGGCTGCCAGGCTCAAGGGGGCTTCCCCTGGGGACATGGCAGGAGGTGCTGGCCAGGGGTTCAGTGCTGGGTTTCACTGGCTCGGGCAGCACCTATGGGCACAGGTGTCCACCAGAGCATCTGCTCTGCCCACCTGGCGTCCACGCTGGCTGGTCCCTCATGACAGTGCCATGAAACCAGGCGGAGAGACCCAGTGGGCACTGTCTGGCTCTCCCCTCCCCGCCTGGGCCTGGGGGCAGGGCCAGCTGTGGTCCTCAGGCCACGCCCCCTCTGCCTGCGCTCACTGCTGGGCACAGTGACCTCACCCTGGCCTGGCCGACGGCCCCTCTGGACATCAGCAAGTCGCCCAAGGGTGACAGAGACCACGGGCCCCAGCCCACAGCATGGCCACCAGGCGCGTCACAGGATGGGCCGGCTTCTGTCCTTGAGCCTGCTCCTGCCAGGACTCAGGCTCCCTGACTTTAAAGGGAGGTGATGCCCCAGACTCAGCAGCTGGGGGTGAGCAGGCTCAGGCGCAGGAACTGTCTGCACCGCTGCTCCAGCCTGCCTTGGCAGGGCCACAGGAGGTCTTGCCAGAGCCCTGTCACTACAAGTGCTGTCCACCTGTGTCCAGGGGAGGGGTCAGACCCCAACTCAGCACCAGGGAAGCCCCACGTGCAGGTGCCCACCAGAGGCTTAGTGACTGCGTGACAGTCGCGGAGGCGGCCATGGGAATCCCAAGGCGTCCTAACGACCACACTGGGCACCACGAACAAGCCCAGGGGAGGCCCAGCGTCTCAGCTCAGCAGGCTGACTCTGCCACACTTGGCCACGGTCCTGGGAGTTACCTGCCCTCCCCCAGCCTCAGTTTCCCC